GGGGTAACATTGACCGGCTTGGAAATTAAGTTAAAATTACCATAGGTACCTATATAACATATTTTATGTTTGATATACCTATTAATGTTTTTTTCTTTATGTTTCAGACTCTACAGAGTCTTGTATATGGTAATTTTAATTTAATTTCCAAACTGGTCTATGTTACCCCGTCACGGCTGCCATTAGGTGGTCACATTTTGCCCATTTCCATTTGCAAACTGTGACATTTTCCTAAAATCTGTCTTTTGTATATGTAACTAGAAGTGTTCTACTACAATGCACCACAACCTGGAGTTATTTGGAGTTATTTTACTAAAAACTAAAATTGATTTTACCACCCGGTCAAAGAAACCCCAAGAGCTGGGGTAACAAAGACCATCACTTTTTTTTTAAATTACATCAAAACTATGAGAGGCAGGAGCCAGCAATTTATGGTGAGTAAAGCTAGAGTATAGACCTGTATTTTGCATGTTTCCTTATCTAGAAAAAAAATTGTATCATTTTGAAAAAAAGTGGTCAAAGTTACTCCATTTTACCGTAGTTACTTTAGTTTCAGGAAACGGCCGCTCAGTTTAACTCGCCTGAAGGCATCTCTCGACACGAAGTAATAGTTAAATTGCCAGAGCTCTTGTTTTTTTTTCTGGCATTTAGAGCAGCTTTTGGTGTCGTTTGCTCTTGGCCAACGTCTTGACATCCCCCAAGGCTGGTCTGAATGACATTCAATTCTTTCTGGAAACTTCTGAAGGAATGAGGTTGATATTCCGGACCTAATAAACGTCAGAGACAATGTCTCGAGATGATTTTTGTCGTGTTCCTGTTGTTAATGTGAAGGATGTTAATAAAGCAAAGGGTTAATAAATTGTTGATAAAGAGGATAATAGTGATGAAATGGCTTCGTCAGGCCAATGTGTTTGGGGTCGAAGTGATTGGTCAGCATGTGGCCCACAGACCACTGGGTATTATTGTGTTATTGTTCCAATATTTTATTATTTTACACAAATATTGCTTGATATATATTTGCACCTGGCGGAAATTAAAAGTTAATATCATTTATATTGCTCTAATTATTAATATAGTGCCCTAGAAATTCAAATTGTAATGAAATTGACAGGATCATTATAAAATTGAAATAAAATTAACTAAACGATAACTTGTTCTCCAGCTATTATTATTATTAATATTATTATTATTATAACTATTATTATTATTATTATTATCATTATCATTATTATTATTATCATTATTTTTATTATTATCACTAATGTAACGTACAGCTTGCAGAAGACGATCAAGAGCTAGAGCGCCTAAGCGAGTTGTGCTCTGCGATGTCAGAGTTCAGGCAGTACCAGCCAGAGTACTATCATAATTATTATTATAATTACTATCATTATTATCATCATTATCATTGTTAATTAAATGCACAGCTTGCAGAAGACGAACAAGAACTAGAGCGACTAAGCGAGCTGTGCTCTGCAATGTCAGAGTTCAGGCAGTACCAGCCAGAGTACCAGCACGCTCTGGAGGAGGCTGGCGTCGCTACCATAGAAGACCTGCACAAGAAAATTGCTGCCATGCAAATAAAGATATGCAAAACTAGAGCCAAGATGGCGCAGGAACCTGTTGAAGAGGAGGGCAGGCTTGTAAGTCCAGGGAATGTTTGTTTTAGTTATAATTATAAGGTAATTTATGAATTGTCAATAAAAAACTAGAGCCAAGATGGCGCAAGAACCTGTTGAAGAGGAAGGCAGGCTTTCAGGGAATACTTGTTTTAGTTATAATTATAAGGTAATTTATGAATTGTCAATAAAAAACTAGAGCCAAGATGGCACAGGAACCTGTTGAAGAGGAGGGCAGGCTTGTAAGTACAGGGAATGTTTGCCTTTGTTATATTTCTAATATAATTAAAGGATTGCAAATAAAAAAGGATTAATTGGATTGGTTATTGCATTATTTGCATCAGAAGCTTGCATCACTTAACTCTTATACAGCATCAGCGACGTGCTGCTATTCAGCTCTCAGCATCAGCTTTAACTTTCTCTTCCGCTGGTTGCATTTAAAATCAGCAATTGCTTCACTATCACCATCACTAGCACCAGACACCATCACCACCATCATCTACTAGCACCAGTTCCCACCCACCACCACCACGTCCTCTCAACCACCACTCACCACCCCCACTAACCACCCACTACAACCACCACCAACCACTCACCACTCTCCCACCACTCACCACCACCACTCTGTCCCACTCCCTCCCCCCAGAGCCCAGGTCCCGGAGGCGCAGGTCTCCCTGAGGACGCTGAGGAGGCCGAGGAGGTGCTGGAGGCCATGCAGAGGGAGTGGACGAGCCTGCACGAGCGTAGGGCAGCGCGCCGCTCCAAACGGTCCATATTAGAACATACATAATATACTTATAGTGCTCTGATATCTTATAGTATTCAACTTAACACGTTGACTACGTATTGGTACATATGCGTACCAGGAAATGTATTTCTCCAGGACGTAATGGTACATAATTCAGGTTGCCTAAAATCGGCCAAATCCGAGAACAAAAAAGACCAAAAAGGCCGATAATTCAATGCATACTAGTTTATTTGTAGGTTCCGCTATAAAAATTCCATTCATTTTCTTTTTGCAGTATTCACAATTTAATTAGGAAGTACCCCTATTAAAAATTTTAGCCGGCCAACGCAATTGAGAAAAACTGACCGTCTGGCAACGCTGCTTAAAAAAAGTACAAAAAATGAAATAATTGTACAAGATGAAGTAATCGTAGTCAACGTGTTAATCTACTTATTACTCTGATATCTTATAATATTCAATATATAATAAACTACGTATTATAAAATTCAATATAATCTACTTATCACTCTTATATCTTATAGTATTCAATATAATAATTTATGTATCAATCAGATACCAACATTGTTGCATCGATTACATAAATATTTCATTATATTTATTCATGTGGTAGATTTTATTTGTATAAGACATGTTCAACATTTATTTCCTTACCGAATATTACTGGAATTGATATGTATCTTGATTTCTAAATTCATGCTAACATTTTATGGCCGTGTATGGGCACCAATGTTAAACCTATATATGAATAATAGGCGGCACGTATATCGTGTATTACACAGGCGGCACGTATATCGTGCATTACACAGGCGGCGCGTATATCCTGTATTACACAGGCGGCGCGTATATCCTGTATTTCAAGACTCTAAAGCTAATTGTAGCGTCCATTTAACATAACATGTACGTCATTATACCTCATATGCTGCACAGAAACTGATCTAACGGTCGCACCCATGCAAAATATAACTACACTACAATAATAATAATACCATACGTTACTGCACTATAATATAATATAATATTATTCATACACTATAATACTACAACGTTAATACAATAAATCTAACAGTATCGTCATTACCACAGCCAGGAGATGGCTAAGCGTCGCACGGCGGCGTCTCAGGAGCGCATGCGTCTCATCTCGCAGCTCGCCAAGCGGGAGAAGAAAGACGACCACTTCGGCCGACGGGACGAAGACTGGGACGTGTACAAGGCCATTAATAAGGTGGGACTGGGACGTGTACAAGGCCATTAATAAGGTGGAACTGGGACGTGTACAAGGCCATTAATAAGGTGGGACTGGGACGTGTACAAGGCCATTAATAAGGTGGGACTGGGACGTGTACAAGGCCATTAATAAGGTGGGACTGGGACGTGTACAAGGCCATCAATAAGGTGGGACTGGGACGTGTACAAGGCTATTAATAAGGTGGGACTGGGACGTGTACAAGGCCATTAATAAGGTGGGACTGGGACGTGTACAAGGCCATCAATAAGGTGGGACTGGGACGTATACTATATACGATACCACATATTTATAAATAATATACTTTTACCATATTATATATAATGTATACAATATATATAATATTGTATACTATATGTTAACAACACAATAGGGTTATATATAGGTACTACATACAGTATAATAAATATTAACGCGACAATACGTTTATACTACCTATAGTATAATATTGTATACTAAATATTAAGGCGGCAATACGGTGCAGGAGGGTGGAGGGTCAGACAGCGAGGACGGTAGTATAATATTTTGTACTAAATATTAACGCCACGATACGGTTATATAAAGGTACTTCATATAATATAATAATATATAATAAATATCAACATAATACTGTGCAGGAGGGTGGAGGGTCAGACAGCGAGGACGAGCTGGAGCGGCTGCAGGAGCTGACGGCGACGCTGCGGCAGCACAGACCTCACTTCCTGGCTGAGGGCGGCACCCAGCCTCTTACTGAGGCTCAGAGGAACCAGATCCTGCTTACTACTGAGATGGTGGGTGCTGCTACATCACTGGGTGCTGCTACATCACTTTATTGTGCCATACTACATCATTTGTATCTGTAACACATCACTTTAATCGGTCTCAATGCCACCAATATACAGTCCCTTTACGATATTATATTTCATTTATATTGTATATCATTTAACCCTTTTATTTCTGTCTATTAATTGCCTTTTTTCCATTTTATTTAAGCAGACAAAATTAGCAATGAGTTTATTAGATTTAACTACTTGATTAATTCGCCACAGATCCGCACGGGTGAGGTGCTGTTCCAGCCCAGCCTGGTAGGTCTAGGCCAGGGTGGTCTGGCAGACACCATCGCGTACGTGCTTGGTCTGTTCAGCCCTGCAGACCAGCAGCGGCTGGTAGACCACGTCGTGGTCACCGGTGGTCTGGCCACCATGCCTGGTCTGGTGGACAGAGTGCGGCATGAGCTACGTGCCATCAGACCTTTTATGTCCGCCTTCAGCGTCCGCGCCGCGCAGGTGAGTCAGGATGACCCACTCTTTAGACCCTCTAACCCCACTCTGTTGACCCATGAACCCCACTCTGTTGACCCGCTAGCCCCGCTCTGTTGACCCATTAACCCCACTCTGTTGACCCATTAACCCCACTCTGTTGACCCACTAACCCCACTCTGTTGACCCACTAACCCCACTCTGTTGACTCACTAACCCCACTCTGTTGACCCTCTAACCCCCACTCTGTTGCTGTCTCTTATACACATCTAGATGTGTATAAGAGACAGCTTTGTATCCTCACACTTTGTATCCTCACACTTTGTATCCTCACACTTTGTATCCTCAATGAGGTCTCATTTTTTCTATTGAATCACATTGAGCTCATTGAACCTGCATGAAAATATATTCGAGCTTTTTTTCTTGCTCTTCTTTTCAAACATTTTGCTGAAACAATATGTACTAATGTCTGTATTTATACTTAAAGTGCTTCCTGCTGATGACGAGTGTTGCTTTCAATATTGCAGCAATATTTTAAATGTTTTTTCCGGTGGTTATATCGATTTCTTCTTCAAGTAGTTATATCTAGTTCAATTTTCCGTTGTAATTTCTATTAGCGTTTTTGTATATATTTCCATTTCTCGTGATTATACCTATTTTTAATTCCGTGATTATATCTATTTACATTTCCATTATTACGTTCTTATTCTTATAACATTTTCCGTTGTTATATATATTTCAATTTCTCGTGTTTATCCCCATTTCTTCATCCCGTTATTATATCTATTTACATTTCACATTGTCATATCTAATTCCTGTTTACGAAATTATTCCTAATTTGCATATTTTGTTCTCACAGGAACTCATCCAAAGACGCATGAGAATCTCCGTGGAGTTCCAGGAGGAGCTGGCGCTCTGGAGCAGCCCTGAGCACTGCTCCAGCAGCGGCCTGACGGTGCAGCTGCCGTTCGCCGCCGCCCCCGCCACCGCTGCGGTGGACCCCGCCGTCCAGAGGGAGCGGCGGCGGGAGGCCGCCCGCCGTCTCGTCCTTATCAACGCCAGGAAAAGAGAGGAGAAGGTCGCCGTTAATTCCAATTAATTTTATTTTAAAATAAATATAACATCTTGGTTGAAGGATGTTTTGAGATTTCATATATGTTGAGATTTCATTCATATACGTTCATATATACATATTTTTTACGTTGATTTCATATGAAAATAAGTATAACGTCTTGGTTGCAGTACGTTTGAGATAATTAGTTAGATTTAGGAACGCAACGTAGACGCCAGGAAGAGAGAGAAGGTAACAATTTATTTCAATTGAGCTAATTTAAAAAAAATATAACGTCATGGTTGTAGTATGTTTTGAGATAATTAGTTTGACTTTGAAACGCAACGTAAACTCCAGGAAGAGGGAGGAGAAGGTAACAATTAATTTCAATTGATTGGCAAAAATAAATAGGTATAACGTCATGGTTATAGTATGTTTTCAGATAATTATTTAGATTTTGAAACGCAACATAAATGTCAGGAAGAGGGAGAAAGTATTGGTGACGGCAATTGATCTTATTCTAAAATATTACGTCTTAATTATAATATGTTACTAGATACCGTAAAATGTTGTTACTTTGACCGGCGGGGTAACTTTTCGTTTTTTTAACAAAAACCCCCAAAACTCAAAAACAATTCGACATAGAAAAATTTTGTCAATGTCCATCAAAGGCCTAATACTGAGGCTACGTAACACAAAAGATAGATTTAAAAAGTTTGCATATCTAATAGGTTAAAAAATTAAAAATGTGACCCACAAAAAAGAGCTATTATTTAAAGCCTGTCGGAGTACCCCCTCCAATTTTTTAATTTTTTTTAAATAACTCCAGGTTTTG